ATTACTTGGCCCTGGCTGGTGTGGCTCAGTTGGTTGGAACATCCTCCCATCACAGGTTCAATTCCTAGTCAGAGCACATACCCAGGTTGTTGGTTTGATCCCTAGTAGGGGGGGTGTGAGAGGCAGCCAATTGATGATTCTCATCATTGATGTTTCTATCCCTCTCTCCCTCTCCCTTCCTCTCTCTGAAATCAATAAAAACATATTTAAAAAAATAAAAGGGGCTTATAAAACAAACAAAAAAGAAAAAGGCTGTTTCACTTATAATTCAGAAAAGGGATGCAGCCTATCAATGTTCTCTCTCACACTGATGTTTCTCTCTCTTTCTCTCTCCCTTCCTCTCTCTCTAAAATCAATAAAAGCAAATCCTCAGGTGAGGATTAAAAAACAGAATTATGTAATCGTCTCTACATTTCCATAACAAAAATAATAAAGCTTTACTATTGGCTGAAAAACATGAGGGAATCTGAATAAAAAGTATAAACCAAACATCACACAGGCAAAATAGCAATAAGGTCAGAAAGGTGAAGCAGAGTGACTGCAATTTCCTTCAAATCTGTTAAATACTTGAAAGTATAGAGAATCGGGGACTCATTGGTTTTAACAGATTGAATATGAATTATTAAATATTCAGGACCAATCCACAGAATAGTACCAAGGCTTAGCCTATTTATGTTAATTCAATCACACAGAAATCCTAACTAATGATATATATTTATAACCTCATTTATCTAGCTGTCATTTCTCTAAAGTTATGGTTCATAGGAATTACTTGCTTTTTAATACTGTCTTGCCATCTCCACTACCACATTTTATGTAAAAGACAGCATAGATAAAAATACAGTAAACATCTTAGTAAATGTCAGTAAGAGGTGAAACAACAGTATTGTGTAACAGAAAGAGTACAGGAATCAAATTCACAAGTCCTGGATTTCTCTTCCAGCATAATTAGAAATGCTTTCACTGAGTCACAATTTCCAAATTTCTAAAATAGGTAAAGTAAGTAAAATGTGAATAATGAATCTTACCTTCACAGTGACTGTGAAGGACATACAGATGGAGATACAGAAGCAGATAAAAAGTCAGATGTAGGCCCATGTAAATATAAAGTGGGATTCTCATTATCATAAAAATAGACATATCCAGGTGCAGGATTGTTAGGTATGGATCTGAGCAGCCTCAGGAAGCATTAAGATGTGTACTTAGAAACACTGAACTTTAACCTAAAGCAATGAGCTACTTGGTGGGAAGATCACTTCAAAATGAGCTTTGCATTTGATAGGTTAGGGATATTTAAAGTCTTTAGAGAGAGTTCAGGTTGAAGAAAAACTTTAAGGAGTTACTTGGAGTAGTTTTCTTCTCTCTGAATTAAGCTCTGAATAAAACATGATTCTTCCTGCTGGAAGAACTTCATCTCATACACAGCAAAACGTCTATAGCTTTAGCCTACTTATTACACAGATTACAGGAAACCATCTGGACTTTTTTTTCCCCTGGAAATCCTTAAGAATTGGGTCCTCGTGAGACTAGACTTCTTTATGGGTGAACAAATCAAAGAGTGAGGATAAAAGTGCCTTTCATGATGCTTCCTGTCCATCCCACAGGTAAACTGCTATGAAAATTTTGATGTGCCTTAAGATCCAGCTTTGGTACAGTGGTTTGCTGACTACTTAGTTATTAACCATTTAAAATATCAGATGAACAGATTAATGTACTTTGAGGTGATTAAATATTAGCTTTTAGCAAATGCATGTATAGGTATATTAAATATATGACATAATCTTAACTAAATACTCAAGAGTGTGTATATGTGTGTGTGTGCATGTGTGTGTAGAAACCTAAGAAGCAACACACGATATTTAATATTGAGTTTAATAAAATAAAACCTGAAGAACTCAGTTAAATAAGATATAAATTTAGATTTTTTTTATTCCACGGTATCAATTATTCAGTGTTATGAATCTCTTAAAATTTTTTTTAGTGTTCAAATCATTGTCCAAAGTTACTGTATTAAATTTTCTTAGATGTGAAAGTCATATGATATCCAATTCAATATGGGCTTAAATTAATCAGTACAAGAAAATTTATGTTTGCACACTTAATTTTAATATCCTATGCTTTCATAACTACACCCATCCATCCTTACCAACATACACATGCACACACACATGCCTTAGTCTAACTTCTTCTGGTGTTTTTAATACATGTATATAAAACTATATATTTACATATAAATATAAAACTAAGTAGGTGAGGTCATGATGATAAATGTGGGACTTTTACACCATCCCGAAGTATATCCCCAAAAGATATTTACTAATTACAAAATAGTAATATGGAAACCTTGCCAATTTTGTTATTGCAGATTTTCAGAGGTCCTTATTCTACTAATATGAAAGTTTTGACCCTTTCATACTATTTTTCCAAATATTCTATGTTTAAGATTATTTCAAAGTAATCAGTTAAAATATACACACATAAATAAATAGATTTTATTAAAAAATAACAAAATCTGATTTGTGGAAAAAAATTATATCCATTGGCTTTATCTCCAAACATAACTTTGGGAGACTATATGGCATTTTATCATAAGGTTTCATCTTGTTTTTCATTTTGGCCTTAAGTATACATAAGACTATTTAATTTACTAAAGTATAATGCAAGCATGCATGTAAGTGAAACTGACAAAACCCACAAAATTATTTGTATTGACAATACATGGAAAAATAAGAGAGCTGATTCTGGCAATTAATAATTCAAATTTGGAGTCATAAACCTTTTCTGTAAGTTTCATAAGAAAGGACAAATGGTATATTAAAATTATTTTCCAGTACATTGATTTTTTGATTTCCCCCAATTTCATGCAAATTTGTTACTATCTTGAATAGTTACTATTTTCTTTAAAAAATGATTATTTTTACTGCTATAACCGATTAAATAATACTTTCCTATTTTTTGGTTCAAGGATTACAAAAAAGAACAATTATTTAAAAAGATAAAAATATCCTTATTCATTAGGGAAGTTGCCCAAACAAAAGGGAATTTCAGATGAATTCTCATATAGGAAGAATATGTTGCTTTACAGAACATCCTATTTCACTTCATCATTTTATCTTTGATCAAATGTGGTTACTGAATATTCCTTAAGGGAACCCAACAATTTCACTGTTTTGTATTTAACACAGCCAAACCGATCTGTAAAGGAATCTTGAGAAAGAAAAAGCCAGTCTCAAGAGCAGCTGCTCAAGTGATGCCTAATTAAATTTTCACACAGATTAAAAGGATATGCTAATACTTTGTGTATACTCAGTGAGGATTTGTAAAGCAATTTAGGCAATCAGAATGTATGTATTGAGAGATACTTTTAAATTTTACCTACTGCTACTTGAAGTGCCCTGGTGGCAGAATCTTAAACTCTGATGCTCAACCTGGATGCACAATAGAACCACCTGGGCAGCTTTAAAAACCAATTCTAGTGCCCAGATTCTAACCATTCATCAGACTTTGCCTGAATGAATATGAAGTGTGGCTTCAGCATCAGGGTTTTTATAGCTCCCCAAACGATTCCTGGGATGCAGCAACATTTGTCTAGATTGTAGTTCTTAAACTCTACTGTACATATGAATCACCTGGGATTTTTTTGAAATGCAAGTTCTGATCTAATAGGGCTGGCCTGGGGCCTGATAATCCATATTTCTAACAAGGTCCTTGGTGACTCCCAAGCTGCTGGTGCATGGGCTACATTGTGTAGGATAGGTAATACCAGCAGATATGGAAAAGAACACCGTAAACAGTATAGTATCTCAAAGTACCTTTGTGACTGGCCTCAGAACAAGAGAGAGGACAGCACTTTCCCCCACAGTACTCTCCTCCTGTCAGGTGACTCCTCTCCAACGCCCACCTGCTTTCTGCTAAGTTTCAGGTTATTTGGAAACATGTCTATTCTTCAAACATAGTTCAGGAAACCCCACTTTCCAACATGAGTTAGACTTCTCCAGCCCTTTCTTTGAACTTCTCTCAAATTCCATGCAGCTCAATACAGTATTAAGTTGTTTTTAATCTTTGCCATTAGAAAGTGTATAAAGGCAAGGGCTATGTCTAATATTTGTCCTAGGAAAGGTGAAGGACATATAATACTCAATAAATCCTTGCTAATTAAACAGTACTGAGACATTCCTCTGGTATTTTATAGATACTGGGATGCACTTTGCCTAAGAAGTTTGGTTGTAAGAAAAATTAACGGTTTACATGTGCTGCTGTTTTACTTATACAACTTGTATGTGATTGAAATACTATGCTCCACTTTTTACAAAAATAGGATTACATGGTACCAGTTGCCTGTTGAAATGTTCTTCAAGATCTCTTGTATACAGAATACCTATATAAAACACATCCTGTACCAGAAGCATGATTCCAAATGATGGTATCAGAAAAGTCTTTATGGACCTTGAAATCCTCTCTCATCAATGAACTGAGACATTAAATTCTCTTTTCTAAGCTTCATGCATTCAGCTCCTGCATTACAGCCTTATGAACATGTAAATATAGCTGGATGGGAAACATTTAAAAATGTATTACTAGTAATCTATAAGTATAAATGAAGAATGTGAGATCCAGTTTGGTAAGTGTAGAAATACAAAAGAAAGAACAAGTGGTATAATTCTGTACATGGAAGTTCCAGAGACCCAATGTTCCCCAAATCGACTCTTGGCAGGTTAATTACAGCTTCTATCCTAACATCAGCTCAGAGTGAAGCAAAATTATTTTGTTCACATATTTGGAATGAGATTACTGCTCAATATATAAACATCTCTATAGAATAATTATAATAAAAAAGGTTCTCCAAGGAAAAATTACTTGAGTTAGGAGGTAAAATGGTAGAAAGAGAAGGAATGAATTTATCAACACGAGGCAATTACTGGATAAGGTGTGTTATAAGAGTAAAGTCGTTAGTTATTTCTCCTTTCTGACGTTAAAATAATGCTGTTCTTCATTTCTAGAGCAGAAGTGCCATGTCAGTGAGGACGACATGACCCCTGACACCAGTGAAGCATTCCAGAGTCTGGTCACATTTATGAGGTGTGTAAAAGTTATTTCTCTCTATGTGCTCTAGCTTTCATTGTGCATGGTCTAATTTTTAATTATGCAAAGCATTTTACATTAAACCTTTGGCAAAGATCTATTTGATAAAGCTGATACATCCCATCCATACTTAAGCAATTTCTAGATTGGTCTTAGCTCTGTTATCCTGTTTGAACTTTTCTATTGACAATGTCTAAAACTTTAAAAGAGATAAAAAATTGAGAGGAAAAAACCTGGAAAATACATACACACACAAACAGAATATAATTCAATAAATCACACAGTTAATAATAAACACAAACAAGAGAGCTTCAGAAAGTTCTTGATCAAAAACCTGCCACAACTGTGAAACCACCACTACAACCTACATAGAGTGCATTTCCATTTCCATTTCCCTCTATTATAGTCAACTAGAGGCCCAGTGCACAAAATTTGTTCACTGGCAAAGGGCAGTGGTCCCTCAGCCTTGCCTGCACCCTCTCGCAGTCCGGGGCCCCTCGTGAGATGTCCGCCTGCCAGCTCCTTACCACTCACCTGCTCGCTACTCCTTAGCACTTCTGCAGAGGCAGGAGAGGCTCCCACCACCACTGCTGCACTTACCAGCCGTGAGCCCAGCTTCTGGCTGGGTGGTGCTCCCCCTGTGGAAGTGCACTGACCACCAGGGGGCAGCTCCTACATTGAACGTGTGCCCCCTGGTGGTCAGTATGCATCACAGGGACTGGTCACTCTGGTCATTCTGCCATAACAGTTGCTTAGGCTTTTATTACATAGATTCTTCCTTCTGCCCCTGTCAGAGGTAATTGTAAATCTCCTTTTTGTGTCTAAATATTAATTTGCATTTTCTAGAATTTTATTATACACTAGAGGCCTGGTGCATGAATTCATGCATGGGTGGGGTCTGCCAGCCCGCCCCAATCAGGGACGAATGGACCAGGCTGGCTGGTGGGAGGGGCCTTGGGCAGTTGGCTGGCCGGCCCCACCCCCTGGTTGAACTCCAGGTCGAGGGGATAATTTGCATATTAGCCTTTTATTATATAGGATTTGTCAAAAGTCATTACACTGTATGCTTTAAAGGAATGCAATTTGTAGCACATAAATTATTCCTTAAATAAATTGTTAAAACTAATAATACCTTTTTTTAAGTTTTAGCTTTTTCACAAGGTCCTGTTCATTGATCCCATGATGTCACATGGTTCTACTTCATATTTCTTTCTGAAGAGTGAAAAAGCCTTGGAAAGAGTGATTGACGAGTTTCTAGAAGGACTACTTAGCCTGCCTGAGGAGCCAGCAGAGACCCCAAGGGATTGTTAGAGTTAGCTTAGAATCCTCAAGTAATTTTGTCTCCATCTCTATTCTTATATGTTAGTTCAATTAAACTATAACTATGAACAAACAAATTGTTATGATTTTTTTAATTTGACTTCCTGGTCAAACTGGAATATCCAACACCCCCACATCTTCCTTCTCACTGCAAAGAATAAAGATAAATTAGATGAAAGAATAAGTCCTCTAATTCAAGAACCTGCTTAAAAATAATCCAAAAATACCTGGCCGGTGTTTCTCAATGGTTAGAGTGTCAGCCCTGCTCACCAAAAGGTCATGGGTTCAATTCCAAGTCGAGGGCACATACCTCGGTTGCAGCTTTGATCTCTGAGGCCCTGGTTCAGTGCATGCAGGAGGCAACCAATCCATGTGTCTCTCTCACATCAATGTTTCTGTCCCTCCCTCCATTCCTCCCTTCTACTCCCACTAAAATTCAATGGAAAAAAATATCCTCAAGTGAGGATTAACAAAAAATAAATAATAAATAAATATAATAATCCAAGGAAAGAGCCATCTAAATCCAAGGTTAAGAAAGCAGGTTCTTGTGATTTTCTTGCTATGCTCTAAAAATGGTGCCATAACATTAGCTGTCAGTGACTTGCATTATTTGTGCTGGTACAAGAGGTCTTATTGAGTACTGTTTGAAGTTACTACCTGTAGATACCTCGGAGTTTAATCATCCCAGAGTGCTTTCATTAAAAGTAGAGTAGGTTTGCCTTGGAATGATGTATTACAGTATTATAGGAAGATGGGGTAGAAGAGGAATAAGCATCATCCAAAGATTGTTAGAATCATAGTAAGCAGCATTTCAAAAAGGTCTTTGGAACTATAGATTTACCTCAATTTGTACAAGAGATATTACTAAATGGTAAGCAAATCAAACTATTTTTAATGCTAAACAATTTAAAATTTCCCCGGGAAGAATCCTTTGGTCAGTCGAAGAATCACTTTGAACTTGAGTTGCTTTGGAATTCCAAGGCTCAGATTACTCTCCTTTGACATAGGCTCCATTTATAAAGATTTGTGTTTTTTCTCTCTATCCCTTTACTCCCTCTCTCCATCGTATTTTTATCTTTGATGCTATTCTCTTCACTTAACACCATTCACTTGTTGCCCACATTTTTGCCAAGAAACAGAAAGAAAACACGGTCTTTTAAAAGGTAAAAATCTTGGGCAGTGAGAGTTGATAAAACTTATTTCATTGTGATGAAACACCTATGACAACCTGGCATTTTGCACTCACAAAATTCTTCTGAAATATTTAAGTAATCTCCTCAGAGTCCTCATGTGGCATACTGGTATATTGAGGAAGCAAATACTGCAAAGTTGCCAGAAGACCAATTCCAGTCTAATTAGGACTTGCTCTGCTTCGGTGAAGGCTACGTAAATACTCTGTTAATATTCACAGCAGCAGCTTTGTCAGTAACTCCCCCAGAATCTTCTAATGGAAAACAGCAACTATTGATTCTCAGATGCTGATAGATCATCACTGCCTCCTTTCTCCCCACTCTGCCCCAACAGAGGGCACAAATGCCCAGTGCTCTATAGCTCCTAAACACCGAAGGATCATCATGAAAGTAGGGCTGGCATCCCTGATCATTAATTATAATCTTGGGCACATATGCAATGTGATTGCAGGAAATAATCAGCTTTGTCTGCCAAATTGGCAACATTTAGGAACTAATTTGTTATGACATGGCATCAAAGACATTTAAACAACACACTCAAGGCTCTGGGGCGCTGCGTCCATTGTTTAAACATCAGGTAGCAGCATTAAAAAATAGTTAACATATCCAGAGGGAGGTGATATGTATTCTTAAACTTCCGTTTAAGTGGAATTATTAAAAAAAATAATTTTATATGCTCCCAATCCTGCACTTTCTGCATTAGGGATGCCCATCCAGAGTGACTGCCATTTAGGGGGCCGCTTGGAAGAGCAGCTGTCTGTCTAGAGTAATTAAGTGGACAGCGAAAGGATGATCTAAGTGTGCCTGGGGCAAAAATTAGACAGGATTGCTATTTTTCTGTTTGGGATACACTAGAATTCATTTACATACGTAATTCTTCAGGGTCCAAATCATAGCAGCAGATTCCTCATACTGATGTGCATTGTAGTGAAGGAAAGGAAATGGTGTGAAGGTAAGTTATGTTCATTCCATGCCCAAATCACTCGACACTGAGAACACCCACTGTATGAACACTGCATGTCTGTCTGTCTGTCTGTCTGTCTGTCTGTCTCTCTCCCCCCCCCCCCCCCCCCCTAACTTTTCACTTTGGACACCAGCACCATTGTTCTGAGCCCATGTTTCCACCATGGTGATTCAGGAAACTTTTAATTCTATGTTTTTCCTCCACCATTTCTTTTTATCCTCCTCCTCATTATCAAGCCCAGGCATGCACTTCATTTCACTGCCAAGCTCCCTCTCTTAACTCCCTAAGACCTCCCAAATATAAACACACACAAATATTTCACTTCATTCCTTTTTCATATGCAAATATAGATAAAAAGATGTTTTATAACAGTTTCTAAGGATTCCAATTACTTCTAGAAATATTACCATCAACTATTTTTGTGCCCCCCCCCAAGCAGTTAAATATAAAACATTGACAATAATATGCCTTTACAAAGCAAAAGTCCTCAAGGTAATTTCCCCACCTCCCTACCCATTCTTGAGTGGGAATAAACTTTGGCCTCTCTCTACCACTTTTTTCACTTTGCCTGGGTTGAGGATGTAATTTTTGAAAAAGTAAGCAAGACTTATGTAGTGAATATCACCCTTCCTTTTGGTGCTGAACTGACCGCAGAGGCAGTGATTGATTCTCCGCTGTTCTCCCAGAGCAGTTCTTTACCTTCCTTCCATCACAGGGGAACTTCCCAAGTCCAGCGCTTCCTGTCATGTGTTGAAGTCTACCTCATTTGGAACTTGTTTAGCAGGTTCCTTTGGCCCTCAAACTATGCTGTCTTTCAACTTGTCACCTGCCAATAATAAAATTGACATTTTTATCTCTGTTGGCCATCCTTTTATTTTCAATTTTTCAAATCCTGGCAAGGAAGTAGGATGCTATTCATCTGACCTCCACAAAGGTTACAACCTTTGCTATATTGTCCATAAAAGCCAAACAGTGGAGTAATGATGATAAAATATATTTAAAAGTTAACAGGTAGTTATCTCTGATTTGCAAAAATATGGACGATGATTTTGCCTCTGAATTCACTATCAATCAGAAACACAAGGCCTCTTCTGTCTCTTGGCCCGGCCATCCCATTCATGCACATCCTAATGCTTTACTGCAGACCATCACACCATTTCCATGTGTGTCACTCTGTCCTGGGAACCAGGCATGCAAGGTGCTACACTCTTGGGGTGAACCTTTGACCAGTATGATAAGGAAGCCAGTTCACAAATGACTCTCCCCTCCCTCACCGCCCCGTCTTAAGGTGCAGCTTCTATGGCTTCTAGGAAGGCACTGCTATGGGATTCAGTGATCACCTGCATCTGGGAGTGACCAACTAAATAACACACCATCACTTTGGCTCTTATCCTTTCCTCTTTGACTGTCTTATCCCTCACTGCTGCTCCATAGGATTACATGCGCCAATAAAATAGCAGCATATAAGCCTGCTGCTTCAGACTCCACTTCCCGGGAAACCCAAGCTAAGACATTACATTTCTGTATTCTGGGTTGTAATTATTCATAGACCTCACAAGTCAAGTAATTATCAGAAAAAATATTATTTTACCATTAACTTTCACCATCTTTTTAAATTTCAAAAATCTTTTCCTATCCTGTGAACCAATGATGGTTATCCAGAAAACACACACACACACACACACAAAAAAAAAAAAAAAAAAAAAAAAAACACAACAACCTCCCTGCACATTTTGAATCAGAGAATACACTTTTTTAAACTTCCTAGCTCATTTACAGTCCTACAGGAAATATTTGTGTTGCATCTTCATTTGAAAAGCCAAGATACACCAGAAAATCTTAGGTAGCATCAAGCCTAGAAGTCTAAATGGTTACAAAACTTAATTGCTAACTTGTAAAATTAGATGTTTATCTAGCCTTTCTTCATTTTACCAATTGCATTGTGAGATCTATGTGACAACTTAAAAATGTGCAACACTCATCACATCCAATGAATATACAATTTATCTTTCAAAAATATATATTTATATGGTATATTTTGAATTCGCTGGATTAAAGTCAGAGTATAAATAACAAAAGTATTTGTTATAGAACAATACATTTTTTAAATCCTCTTTTAAGACATGTTTGTTTTTCTTTCTAGACTTGAAAAAAGTATGAGAAGTTGTGCTTTAAAATATGCTTCAAAATTGGGTTCCTTCATATTGATTTGTAAGAGTGACCCTCAATTATTGAGAAATTTTCAGATGGGCAACAGCTAAAGCCATAGACGGCAACACACAGTTTCACTAATGACCAGGCTTATGTGTATAAAATAAGAAGCTTGGGAGAAATGGGTATTCTGCTTCAAAATACTTTTCAATCTTTTATTGAGTCTTAATGTAATAATTTATTTTTAATTAAAAATGTTACCTTATAAAAATGAAAAGCAAAACAGGAGGAATAATGCTTTAAATCATAATGTTTACAAAGTCTCACCATAAAATAAACAAGCTTATCGAATATCTATTAACTGCTTTTTATGTGCCAAGATTGAATTCTTTATGTGAATTAATTAATTTGTTTCCTATCACAGTCCTACAAAGTAGGGGTAATTATTATCCCCATGTTAAAGGTGAAGAAAAATAAAGCCAAGAACATTTAGTAAATTGCCTAGAAGTCGCATAGCAAATGATAAAGGTGAAATTAGGGCTCAAGATATGTGACTTCATGCTAAAATTTAATAAGATTTTTAAAAATACTGATTAGCTGAGTGTATTCTTTCTTTCACAGCAGTGGCAGCTGTGACAGACTTCAATGGTTTCCTCAAAAGCTAGATCATGTAGTGTGTGTGAACGACAGTTTAACAAGTAGAGAATCCACATATC